CCAGAGTCTTAGGCCAAGATAGTGCTGTAACTTCCTGGCTCAAGGGTGTGAAAAACACCCCTCAGGGCACAGCAAGTTACAGGATCGTAAAGCACCATGTGAACCAGGCTACAGCTCTAGAAGCCATGCTCCTATCACTGTTAAATACTTTCCTTGTGGTGATGCTTTACATAGAGTGCTGGAGGAGCTCTCCCAGTGCTTCATGCCATGGCCACTCTTTCAGTTTAAAGTACTGCCACAGCTGTGCTTTAAACTCTTAAGTGTAGGCTAAGCTCAGTTTTGAAGATCTGGAAGTAGATACATCATTATGCAGAAACACAATCCAAAACTTACAACAAGCTATGAAATGATCCCATCAATACAACAATGGAAAGTAGGTAGAATGATTTCTCTTTCAATAGCATCATGTACAAGTGACAAGCAAACAACTAAAGATCAGTTCTTGCACCTAGAGTAAGGGAGTTTCATTTTCCACTTAAGTACTTCACAGGTTATTAGAGTGTACAGTATTTAGCAACTACAAATCACCCCTCCATTTTCAATGTAGCGAGTCTCTGCAAAATAGCTTTTAAGCTGAAAAACTACACACAGTAGTAAATTGAGCCATCTTTAGTAGCTACCTGTACCAGCAAACGTAGGAAAATAATACCAAATGATCTACTGCAGTTGTAGGCAACCTGAAACCCATTGGGGTTCTACGTATGGCCCATGTAACATTTCGTTTATCATTGCGCACGTGCAGGGGTGGCCTGATTTTGCTGGTTTAAATCCATTTATTTTTTTCCTGTTGATATTACTAAAATGACACACATGTAAAACAAGGACACATGATGTGAGGTGCATGCTGCTAGCACACAACATTGACTGTGAGAGACATGCACTCCCTCTGCACAATAAAAGCACTGCTATGGTTCAGTCAGCACACACCACAAATTCTAGACTAACTGAAGTGTAGAAACATAAGCTTTCGTGGGCAAAGACCCACTTCGTCAGATGCATGGCGAAGTGGGTCTTTGCCCACAAAAGCTTATGCTCCTACACTTCAGTTAGTCTATAAGGTGCCACAGGACTCCTCGCCGCTTTTGCAGATTCAGACTAACACGGCTACCCCTCTAATACTTGACACAGCAGGTGCACAAGCGCAGTTAGCAAAACTACCCTAGCCAGGGAGACCATCTTGGTAATGACAAACATGCAGCCCATTCTATAGCCAAGGCATAGATCTTTCCATCCTCCTCACTCTTTTCCATCCTCCTCACTCTGCATGATGATGTCTTTGTTTTGCAGAGCATAGGCAGGGAAGCCTGTGGCTGCTCTGGAAATTGGAGAAGATTCCTCCCTCTTCTCCTGCCAGCCTACTCCTCATGCATGACCTCTGTTCAGCATTAGAAGTGCTTCCCATAACCTCTACGTGTTATGTCTTCAGTGTGTACATTTGTTTTTATTTTTATGAGGTATGTAATAATAGATATCAATTAGAACTGCACTTAGTACCTTTAATGATAAGTTAACAATGTGCGTGTGTGGAAATAAGGAATTTCTTACTGTTTTGCTTTTTCAAATAGCTGTACTATAAAAATAAATACGATTTGTACCCAGTCCATTACAAGTGTACCCCAGTTGGACAAATATGCCACTTGAAAGCAATATAAAGCCAATGTAGTCTCAAGAGAAATAGAGTGGTCTATACACAGGCTAAACTGCCTCACTAGACAATAGTTTTGACTATAAAGGGAATGAAAGATAAGTCCTATGTGCACATTTCTAATCTATTTTTAAAAAGCACTTTTAACAATTATCACAGAACATTTCAAATCTATCAAAAATGCATATTTTAGCCCTGTTACTAGTACATAAAGTCTGAACACAGACTTCTTAATTCTTCTTAATTCAAGAGGAAATCAAAATTTGTTGAACATGTTAAAATGTATTTTTAGCTTCCTTCCCTCACCTTGCTGGAGAATGGGAAATTGAGAGCTAAACCTAATTCTCCTAATTACAGAAAGTCAATCAGGAACAGCAGAAAACAGTTTCAGGAAACTGATCATTAGTCTCACTTTTACATCATAGCTGGTGACACAGACACACAGGAAATTGGAATCTTTTAAACCGTAGTTTCATGACCTGACTTGATCAAAGTGAGAAGGATCTACTGTATTAGTAGGAAATAAAATTAAATTCAATATGGAGTAATGTATATGAAAGCATCTGGGGGATTATGAGAAAGAAAGAAAGGAAAGGAAAGGAAAGGAAAGGAAAGGAAAGGAAAGGAAAGGAAAGGAAAGGAAAGGAAAGGAAAGGAAAGGAAAGGAAAGGAAAGGAAAGGAAAGGAAAGGAAAGGAAAGGAAAGGAAAGGAAAGGAAAGGAAAGGAAAGGAAAGGAAAGGAAAGGAAAGGAAAGGAAAGGAAAGGAAAGGAAAGGAAAGGAAAGGAAAGGAAACTCTTTAGAAATGCAATAATGAAAAATTGCATACGGAGTAGCGGTATTCTATTTCACACATACAAACCTTCATCGGAATCCTGCTGATAACTGATTTAGTCTGTCAGGCATCAGAACTAAAGCTTGTCAGAACTGTGACTTCAACAAAGCAGAACTGAAATCAATAATCCCTGAATTCAGGTCAATACTCTCTTTCAAGTAAATTCACGTTGACTTACATTTTTGACTCAACAAACATTTGTTAAATTACTCACCTGCTCATGAGAGCTGATTGTTCCCTCCCACATTAAAACCTGAGGGAGAGGATTTTTCACAGAAAACCTTTATGGCAATGATCACAAATTGTCAGTCCCGTCCTTGTGGAAAAACTACTCCTCGCCTCAGCAGAATCACCAGGTTCTGTTGGAAACCCTCAGAGATCCTGTTTCCCCACAGAGATTCTGTTCTCCCCTCTCCCCGCACAAAGAAAATCAGGTTGAATATTGGCCATTTCTTTAAGGGGACATGCAAGTGCAGTAAGAAGTGGTGTTGGTGACTCAGCAGGGAGCACTCATTCCTTTGAGTCAGTACTAAATCCACTGCTCTGGATACTGCTAGGGGTTACTAAAGGAGTGGGGAACCTTTTTTGGGTTGGGGGCCACTGACCCACAGCCCACAGAAAAATCAGTCGGGGACTGCACACTAGTGAGAAGCAAAAAAAACTTCCTCACTGACACAGACTCCTAACTGAGGAGAAAGACACTCCCCACATTCTTCTTGCACACCAGAGCCTGGGGGGGGGGCCCAACCTAGTAGATTTTGTGTGCTCTAGCCCCGCTCCCCACATCCCAGGGTCTAGGGGGGCCCAGGCTAGTAGATTTTGTGTGCTTGGCGGGACAGCAGAGGGGGCTGGAGCAACAGGCGGGGAGTCCCAAGCCTCAGGAGCCAGATCCAGGCAAGCCAGGGGCTGTATCCAGCCCCTAGGCCTGAGGTTTCCCACCCCTGGGTTACTGTCTTGCTGTTTTTTGAAGAACATCTAAAACTGAGTTCCTAACCACTTCAGAAATTAAAGATTTCAAGGCACTTGCCATGTTTACTCTGACACCCTAGCAAATTCAGATTCAGATAATAACATTTCTATTCAGATAATTAACATCTATTTAACTTACTCATAGTATATCAATTGCATGTGGTATTCCTTGATTCTTCTTAGATCTCGAGTTAGAGATAAGATGCTGTTGTTATGCTCCAGCATTTCTCAACAATTGTTCAATGTTAAAAAAATGCAGCAATGAAAACTATGGAAATGTCATAACCTTCTTTAGCCCTTGCCCAGAAGCAGTAGTGCTTCTGGTCTTAATAGTGTATGCAGTATGGCTTTGTGCAGTCAAACTGTGTCTGCCTTCCATCCTAGAGGTGGCTACAATTCAGTGATGAATGATTTGCTCCCTTCTCTACTATTTATCTACCTTGCAGAGGTCTTATGAAGTATAATGAGTATAATGAGATAATATTTACGAAACTGTTTGTTACATACAAACAAATCTAGAAAAACATTCTAGAAGTGAACATTTGCTAAGAACAGCAATAGGAGTTTCACTATTAACAGTAGTTATAGTAGTACAAATAATGTCATAGCACCTTGGAATCTCAGTCATGGGCTAATACCCCTAGTGTGTCTAAGCACTACACAAACAGAATATAAAGATGGGCTACTGCCCTGTACAATCTTAGGGTACGTCTACACTTACAACAGCATGTGGAATATAAACTCTGCACTCCTGCTAGAATGGGTATAAACAGCAGTGCAGATGGTGAGGTATGGCTTAGGTGAATAGAGTGCACTACATACCTGAAACCCATGGGTATTTACCTTACACAGCTCTCTACATGCCCAAGCACCATCTCCCACGTCTACGCTGTTATTTTAACAATGTAGTGTCCTCGTGCCTCCTCGCCAAAGCCTTTTCCTGGTGCAAAGCAGTGACACGTATGGATGCAGCTTACCTGTTGCTCTTGCATGTAGCTATGCATGAAGTGCATGTCCTCTATATGCTGACAAGTGTAGACATAGTCTCAGTAAATCATGATTTTTGTAGGAGTCGGAGCAAGCAGGACCTTACTTTGACTGGTATGAAAGACACCTGAGATTTTGTTTTAACCACAATATGTTAAATGAATAAAATGAGCTTGTCTTAAACGTATTAATCACTTTAATAACCAAATTCAGCCTCAGACATAGTAACACTTAAATAACAATAAAGCATTTTTGAGCAGTTTTATAAGTAGATAGATATTTAACCAGGAATATTTGATACCCACAGGAAATCTAGATCATCCGACCTAAGGGTCTGTAATATTAATTTAACAAGCTTGATGAAAATACAGCCTGTCTTTAAAAATAAACTCTAATATTTAAATATTTAATTTATTTTTAAAAACTATTAATTCTTGTGAAGAAAAAAAATTGGTTTTGCCTTCAGTGGCTTTGAAATATGCATAGGAATGCTGACAAATTTCAGGAGATACAAAGCAATTTCAGATTCACACTCTGCACACATTCAACACTTTGATGTAATTACCTCCAGGATTGCAGCAGACATCCCTTCTGAAATGGAGCTGTTCACCACTGCAAAGCATCTTTTCACAGCAGCATGAAGATCATTTTGAGGTATCTCCTGTAACAAATGTACCCCAGGTGCCCTAGAAGTAAACAGGGCATAGTTAGAACATCTTCAACTACAAGCATTATGGACTTTTTCTCAGAATTTAGGGTCACTGAGTTATAGCCCAGTAGTTAAAACTACTCTGGCAGTTGGGAATTATGTTTCTGATTCCAGCAATAAGAATCAGTATCTGTAGTGCAACTGGAGATGATTGCAGTTCATGGAGGCAGACCCACACCAGCTTTAACCTAATTAGTCTGAATAGCACTTACAGTGAAAATGCGGTGGAATCACATAGGTTAGCATCTCAAGTATATACTATTCTGCTGCATCTTCATTTCTAATTTTAGCTGTGCTAACTAGATTAAAGCTAGCATGGACAGACCTAAATAAACTGCACTCTGATTGCACTGCAGACAAACTCATTGACTTGCCCATGGGTAAAAGGAGAGGCATAATGAGTCTTAATTAATATTAATAGATCTTTAGATAAAAGATTCCTTATGCACAATGTATTATTACTGCTAGCACGTATGTATTGCTCACCCCCTGTGCTGAATATTATAATGAGCTATTATTTGTATTACAGTGGTCCTAAGAGACGTCATCTGATATTGGGGCCCTGACTAGACCCCTTATTTTTTGGATCCCAATTCAGCACCTAGATCCAGGTTAGGCAAATACCAGTCTGCGACCCAGATCTGATCCACCAGGCTTATTACTGCTAGCACGTATGTATTGCTCACCCCCTGTGCTGAATATTATAATGAGCTATTATTTGTATTACAGTGGTCCTAAGAGACGTCATCTGATATTGGGGCCCTGACTAGACCCCTTATTTTTTGGATCCCAATTCAGCACCTAGATCCAGGTTAGGCAAATACCAGTCTGCGACCCAGATCTGATCCACCAGGCTTAGCTCTCCCTTCCTCCCACTCCCATTAGCAGGGAATGGTGATCCACAGTCAACGGCAGTTGCAATCATCAGTACCTGCAGCTCTGCAGGTAAATATAGTGGTAACAGCCCTCCAGCGACTAACTCTGGTGAACAACTGCTATGTTCCTGCCCACCCCAGACCTAGACTATACCACCAAAAGCTACCATTCTAATTCTACAATATTTTACACCAAGTTATTATAGATGCAAATGAATATATCAAGTGTATGGCACTGTAACTTAATATAACATCAAAGGAAAGCAGAATATTACAGAGCACATATGCTGTGCTGATTCTTAACTGTCCATCTAGCACAGGCTACCAGAGTTAGGAAATTGCTCTTGTGTTCTGTTCCAGCCAAGAAATCCTTATGTACTGCAGAAAAAAAATCTGTTTCTTAAAATGTATACCCTTCAACTAGAAAAAACTTAAACTAGAAACAGAAAAGAACTGAGACAGGTTATCTTGTCCGCCCACCAACAACACGTAAGATCTTGCAGAAACACAGGGGAAGACTCGAAGGAGAATATCCACATGAATTATAAATATAAGAAATCTAATTCTAAATCAGTTGTGAGTTAACACAAAACAATATACAGGGTTCTGCTTTAGTGTTGGAAAAGTGAAACATACAATATTTTATTTGTGAGTCTCATATACAAACTAGTAGAACTAGTTTGATAGACATGAAGAGTACTATACATATAAGGTACAAGGATTTGCACGCACACACAGATATGAACAAAACAAAGGCAGAATTAACTCTTTGCTTCTTTTTTTAAACTAAGGAGGAGTAATAACTGCATACCTATTAACTTTTTCATTGACTTCACTTGTAAACAGTGGATCAACCTATAAAGACACACAAACACGGTTACATGTATCTGCATAGCAATACAACATATAAATTAAACACCTAAAAGGAAAATATAAATTTCCGCAGTTCGATATTTGCAAGAATATGCAGTAATTCTAGAGTGGAATTTAGATGTTAAAATCATGTTATAGAAAATCCTACTTGGTAGGTCATATTTAGTTCTTGAGAAAAAGATAGCTTTGTGATGCAGGCACTAGAATGGGAATCAGGATCTCTGGGTTCCATTTCCAGCTTTTACTAATGTAATAATCTAAAATGTGTGAATATAATGGGAAGAATGTTCAAGCTTAATTCACAACCCCTTTGTAGAGGTGGGAAATTAAACAGGCTTATTTACAGAAACTAACCAACTCTGCTATTTTCATTTAGTAGGATTAAAAACTATAAATAGGCATTTGGAAATCATAACCAGATAAGCAAGAAGAGCACAAGTTCTTTTTGTTATATTGAGGTTTTATTAAGTTGATTTATGAGAGACTGTGCAAAATACAGTATTAAAAAGCAGAAAGTTGTTATCAGTTGTCCAGTGCATTTTATTAAACAATTCCCCATTGGGGAAAAAAAAAAAAAGAAATCCAGGAAAGACATTAAGGATTTCTTATCACTGAGGTTGTGTTCAATGTTCCTTCTCATCTTTTCCTTTCACATGCGTAATCATTTTAATATGCACCAAAACATGTGCAAAATGTGCACCATCAGTAGAAACAAAAAACCTAGTTGTGGGAATTCAGCTAATCAGCTGGGCAACTTTTCAATCTCTCCTGAGATCAAAACTGCACAGCTTACAGGAAACACTGGTTGTGTTATATGAACAGTTTCTGTAAGTGCACATGAAGCAAAATGAAAAGTCAATGGATACAGAGAGTAAGAAACCATGCTTAGCAGCAGGGTTAAGTTAAGCTACGAGGGAAGCACTAGTTTGCTGACAGGCAAGAATCATCTCTGAGACATGTTCGACACTGTGAAAACAGCCATAGATCAAATATAACACAATGATGAAGATGTCTTTGCTTCAGTGAAGGGCATATCATATTAAAAATCCAAAGGAACTGTCTGCAAACACCTTATTTTAAACACCTGCCATTTAAAAATGAATTTGAACTAAAGAAGTGGTCCAGAATTTTTTGATGATGGTAAGACTATTGCTGTTGTCTAAGTTTTGTAAAAAGGAGAGCTCATAGCACATTTGCAGTCTGTCAACATGCTGCCCTGAGTGCAACAGAAAGTCAAAAGCTATGCCTGCAAGTTCAATAAGAACAGCTTTGTTCTTCATGGGATGTGTTTATTTGAAAAAAGAAAAAGCATCTCTTCTTTAACTTGTGTGTCCTGTTGAGCTTCAGAGTCACTCAGGAACTGCACTCTGGGCAATAGCTTCTGGCTCAGGCACTGTTATGCTCGGGGGTGTTGCTCTTAGGTCAACTGGCTGGCTTGAAATGCCTTTGTCTCTGATTTCTTTGATGGGAAAGTTACAAGTATCAGCCCTTGGGTTGTTGTTGTGGAGGCCTCGAAGAGCACACTTTTTTCTCAGTTACCTCATAGTGTGTGGCTGTTGTGATCCCACAGGACCTCCTCTCTACTCTTTGGATCATGGGATTACAGGTCTCTTATCTCAAGTGCACTGTCCTGTTTCAATTAGGACCACTATATTTGGTATTCAGATTCCTCTTATCAAAACTAAAAGCAAGGTCAGGATTTGGCAGTGCAGGGGAAAAGTCTCCCCATGCATAAGGAGATATATAAAATATACAGAATCACCAAGTAGGTGAAAAGGGCTGGCTGCTCACTCACATCTGGCACTGCCCCACCCTCATGTACATATGTATTCCTAGAATGTAATCTATCTATCTATCTATCTAAACTGACTACACTGCTAAAAGAGAGGGAATATACAAATGTACAGTTATTTGAAGTTTTAACCATCAAAGATGGAACAGAATTATTTATTATAACAGAAGGTTGTAGGAATGGATACAGGAGAAATGTGATGAAGTTAAAGAAAAATGTAGACTTCACACTGGGAAATTTTCCCAACAGTAAGGTCTGGGAGCCAGTGGAATAATTTTGTACTTGAATTGCTAGGAGTGTCACTGGTAGATTCCTTCAGAACTAGATTACAAAAAACTACTACAAACCATAGAGTCAGGAAGAGTCCTGTTTATTAAGGAGATGGGCTAGAATGACCTGATAGGTTCTTTCTATTTCTAGATTCGATGATACTGAATTCAACAATTGAGTCAGTGGGAACAGGAAGAAGGCAGACATGAAAAAAATAGTTGTCAATGGAAAATAATATCACTATAAACATAACAATATTCTGTACTTTCCACTTGCATGGTTAAAAATTATATGGTATAGTCAAATTGGGTATCAAGAGGAGTTTATTGCAGTACAAGAGGCTAAACTTGCAGTAG